ACATAATCACTTTAGCGTTTGTCCGGGTTACACGCAGCAGGCGCATTCTTTATTGTTGCTGGGTAGTGCTCCATTGTATGGACGTACCGTAGTTTATTCATTCAGAATGTTGGTGGGTGTTAAGGTTGTTTCTGGGTTTTGGCTTTTATAAATAAGCTGCTGAGAACATTACTTATGTCAGTGATAATCAAAATTTAACTTATTTTCTGGTCTTTCCCTTTCTGTAGGGTGCGTTCAACTGCATTTTTATTTTTCTCCTTTTGTGTTATATGAGCACTAGTAAACTAAGAGGAGCAGCCTGTTTTGGGGATGACTTTTTCTTGGTTAAAACCATGGGCTACTCATCACAGCATCTTCGGATATCTTTTTCTTAAAGCAAGTGTGGTGCAGACACCAGTTTCCTGGATTTATAAAGGCAGTGCTAAATGTTTCCAAATGAGTCTCAATTACTTGGGTGGTGTCCTGTGCCAGCAGAGTTGCACGCGCTTCCTGGGAGCCTTGGAAACTGCTTGGGACAGATCCCGACAGATCCCAGAGCAGAGACCAGGGTCACAGAACCCAAGAAGGAACCAGCTTGTTTTCTCTGCCTCAACTCTGAATGTTTTTTACTCTAAGAACCCTCGTCACCTTGACCTCACGTTAGAGCAGTGGAGCGATCCTCCAAATTCTTGGCTTTGTTTCTTATCATTTATTAATTTTATCAAAAAGGATTATTTGTTTAATTTCATTATTGCCATTCTTCAGCTTGACCAAATAGAGAGAAAGCAAGCTGCCAGGGCCAGGACTTGAACTGTGGTCCGCCATGTGGGAGTCCAGTGTCTTAACTACCATGCCATCTGCCAGCCCCATTCCTTATCATTTATAATTCTTCCCGCAGTAATTCAGGGTACAGCTGTCACCGCTCTGCCTTGCGTTGTCTTTTTCCTTCCCTGCATTGTCCGGGAATCCTGTCATACATGGAGTGTCTTTTCCTTGCCTCTTTTTTTTTTTTTTTTTTTTTAACCATACGTTTTTTTCTAGTTTTACTTTCTACTTGGGTGGTGTCCTGTGCCAGCAGAGTTGCACGCGCTTCCTGGGAGCCTTGGAAACTGCTTGGGACAGATCCCGACAGATCCCAGAGCAGAGACCAGGGTCACAGAACCCAAGAAGGAACCAGCTTGTTTTCTCTGCCTCAACTCTGAATGTTTTTTACTCTAAGAACCCTCGTCACCTTGACCTCACGTTAGAGCAGTGGAGCGATCCTCCAAATTCTTGGCTTTGTTTCTTATCATTTATTAATTTTATCAAAAAGGATTATTTGTTTAATTTCATTATTGCCATTCTTCAGCTTGACCAAATAGAGAGAAAGCAAGCTGCCAGGGCCAGGACTTGAACTGTGGTCCGCCATGTGGGAGTCCAGTGTCTTAACTACCATGCCATCTGCCAGCCCCATTCCTTATCATTTATAATTCTTCCCGCAGTAATTCAGGGTACAGCTGTCACCGCTCTGCCTTGCGTTGTCTTTTTCCTTCCCTGCATTGTCCGGGAATCCTGTCATACATGGAGTGTCTTTTCCTTGCCTCTTTTTTTTTTTTTTTTTTTTAACCAATAGGTTTTTTCTAGTTTGTGTGCAGTTGGGGGGGGCGGAGAGGAAATCTGCCTCCCTCCCCGGGGGGTGAGGGATGACCATACTACAGTCCTTCCTCCATTCTCTTCTGGGGATTTAGGGCCTGATCTTACACAAGCCCAGTATGCCTTTCAAGCCACCAAGTCCAGAACTCGAACCGCACAGTCAGCCATGTGTGACCCAGCTGCCTTAACCTCCGCACCACCTGCTGGCCCCCTTTACCTCTAATAACAGGCTGTGGCCTCGGTGTGAGGGACTCCACCCAGCCCTTCATCTCCACGTTCCCCTGTTCCAGTAATGACCAGGTCGGGCTCAGTCCAGGGTGCACAGAATATTTCTCTCCATGTGAGACCGAAAGATCCTTGTTAGTGCGGCACACTTACTGTTGTTTTATGGCCGGAAAGTGTGTGTATTTGAAATATAGGGACAGCCAAGGAGAGGGAGAAAGCAGTGAGGTAAGGGCATGCCACAATCCCTTCTCCATTATTCCACCCTTTCAGGATTTGGAAATACATGCATGTGCACGTGCATCCGGCTTGGTTTTCAAGCCGCTGGGGCCAGAGTCTGACCTGCAGTCAGCCAATTGGTCACAGGGCTGGCCCCTTACTTTTTTTTTTTTTTTTTTTTTTTGGATAAAGGAGTATCTGAAGAGCGATGGGCCACCTTAAGCACTTCAGTCCTGGGGATGCTCCAGGCAACAGCTGGCCTAGTGACTGGTTCAGACTATCTAGGCGACAGCTGGCCTAGTGACTGGCTCAGACTATCAGTGGCGTCTGCACCGTCCCTGTCAGGGAAGCGCAGCAGTGCCTGTCTCGGTCTTCGCAAATCTGATGATTGGCTTATGTGTAGAGTCTATTTCTTAATGTCCGCCAGGTCTTAGGGGTGCACGGATTCTGTGTCCCTGCCGGGTTCTGCAGACATAAGAGCCTCCTGTTTACAAGACAGGCGATTTTACCGTGAGACGGACAGGCAGCTCCCTCAGGCTTTGGACTTTGATTTCGCTAATTTCGGGAAATGGTACAGGTGTTCAGGATGGGGTGATGATTGTTTAAGATAGGAAGTGGAGGTGTGTTTTAGGATGTTGGATAAATGCTACAGGCAGGATCTCTGGCAGCTGTGCGGCCCCCACAAGCAGGCTGTTACAGTTGTCCAGGTAACACACTAACAGGACATAGAGAAGAGGGCCAGACTCTGCAGTGCTGGCAAGCTGAAGTGACACGGCATGGCCATGGATCACATGGCCTCAGCCAGAGGAGTCTAGGGTGATCTCAGGTCCTTAAAACAAAACAAAACATTTATTTGTTTGTTTGTTTTGTTTGTTTGCTTTGTTGTGATTTTCAAGCTACCAGGTCTGGGACTCAGACCGCAGTCAGCCATGTGGGAATGGTGTCTTAATCACCACACCACCTGCTGGCTGAGTTCTTAAGAATGACTTATTTGGGACCAGCAGATGGTGTAATGGTTATATCACTGGACTCCTGCATGGCCTACTTTGGTTCGAGTCCTGGACCCGGCAGCTTGAAACTCATGCTGGGGGCATGTACATGTGTGCTCAAATCCCACGAGGAGAATGGAGGAGAAGGTATTTTGCTGCATGGGCCTCCCTCCAGGGGGTGATTCCTAGCTTTCTGTCTCTCCATTGAGTGCCTGCACCAATAATTTTATTTATTTATTATTATTATTATTTTAAATTTATTGTTATTTTTTCAATTTGCTAAATGGCATGTGTGCTCACCAGAGAGGCAGAGAGAGAAAGTGAGAAAGCAGCCACCAGGACTTGAACCGTGGTCAGCCATGTGGGAGGGAGTCCAGCACCTCAACCACCACGCCACCTGCTGGCACCCTAAGACTTTTGACTTCATAGAAATAGTGGTGATTTTAATTAGCACAGGGCTATAAGAGGAAGAACAGGTTTGGACAAAATGTTGAGCTCAGTGTTTGAAAGGCTGAGGTTGACAGATCCAAGAGTACCCTGGGGCTGATGTCCCCAGGAAGGACTGGCACCTGGGAGCGTGGGAGGGGGACTAGCCAGAGTGCAGGTCTGACAGTTTCCTGAATGTGTTGGGCAAGCCTGGGGGAGTGGGTGAGCATTCCTTGTGGGGAGCATTGTGGACCAAGAAGGCAGAAAGCTCGGTAGAAATACCCATGTTGGTGGGACACACAAGAAGAGGAGCCCACAGAGGGGACACCAGGAGAACTGCCACTAAAATGGTGGGAGCACTTCGAGCGGGATGGAGTCATGAGTGCTGCAGACGCAGAGAGGGCTCACACTAAAGGAGCCCCGGTTGGTGGCCACAGGAATCCGGGGTGTTGGCAGGTGCAGAGAATGGGATTACAGTACAGATGATGGGGTTGGGTTAGAGCACTTTTGGAAGGAAGGCAGAGTAATGAACCCGATTGTTGTTTCTATGGCTAAGTAGAGCTGGTAATTTTATTCCCTTACGAAGTTTTGTTCATGGTAGTGTGCATGTGTGCACGTATGAGAGAGAAAAGCACCTTCCGCAGGACTTGGCTGCCCAGGGATCCCCTCCTCCAATCTTCCAGCCTGCTAGGGTCCTGGGTGTGCCTGCATGTGCCAGGTGTGTCTCCAGGGCATTTGAACTGTGGTTGGCACGTGGCTCCCACTTCTGGAACCTGGTATATGGCCCGCTGTGCCACAGAGGCCGGGCCTGGAATAGGCAGATGTCCAGGTTTTTTGGTCCTTGGCCACTTAGTCTCTAATCTAGGTCTGAGTTTTTTTGTTTTAGGGAATGCTAGGTTTTTATGCTTTGTAAGGGAAAATGTATTTGTAAGTTTTATTTATTGGTCTTTTTCATGGTGGGGGCACATCCCACACAGGAGCTCATGCTGTGGTTCTCCCTCCGGCCTCCTTGGGAACCAAACCCCATTCTCGCACGTGGACCCAGCATGGTAGAGCGGCACCCCACTGCGGTGTCACCACAGCTGGCCCGAGACCTTTTTAAGAAACTATTTTATGTGGTGGCCTTAAGATCTATTTAGTGTAGTGATCTTAGCATTAGAAAACCTCCTGAAAACTGGGTGAAATGTTTTTCAATTTATGTTTTTGTCTGTGAGACTTTGATCTGAATAGAAAGCACAGATTTTGGGGGGATTCTCCTGATGTGTTCTTGATGTCCGCTCCACTGTGCACTGGACCTGGGATAGAGGGCCTCTCTGTACAAAGTGTGGGCTGGAGTGGCTGGGAGGCCGCTCCGGGAAATGGATGTTTAGTAAGTGCTCGGGTGGACGAGCCCTGTGAGAGCCCAGAGGACATCAGGCATCATCTCGTGCAGCGATGAAGGGAGCCTGGACGAGTTTGGGGAAGAAAACTCCAGGAATACTCGGTGACCTGTGCAGTTTGTAACCGTTCCTGTTTGAACATTTGTTTCTTTAGGCCTGTCAACTACTTGGTCCCAGAATTCTCGGTCCCAGCACAGGAGAAGCTCCTGCTCCAGACATGAAGATCGAAAGCCTTCGGAGGTACTTCTGAGCGCTTGCCTGACTGCATGTCACGCACGTGTGTGCCCGGGTCCATGCTGCCCACGCACGCGGCTGGGTGATTGATGTCTCTCTGTGCAGTCCAGGGCAAGTTCTTTAACCTCTCTGTGCCCCATTCCGAAGCCCCACCATGGGACTAACACAGGCGTCTGCCTCTAGGCCCCCTGTGAGCACTAAGCGGGTTAATACATGCAAAGCCCGTGAATGGTTCCTGGCACGTACGGTGGACGTGCTCAGTAAATGTTAGCTATTATTATTAATTATATTCTTTCTTTCCTTTCCTGTTCCATCTTCGCTGGCTCCCAACATCTTTTCCTCTGGCCAGGAGATGAGCGGGTTCCGCTGCTGCCAAGTCACTGCCAGCCTCAAGTTAGTTTTAGCCATGATTTGTGGCTTTTTTGGCAACAAACCATTGTAATTCTGGGAATTCTGTTTTGGGGATTATGTTAAGGCTTCCCCCCCTCCCAATTTGTTTTTATCTTATGTTTCCCCTGCTCCCTACATTTTGTCATTTCTTTATCTGCCTCCCCTGCCTCCCAAGTTGGTTTTTGTTTTTTGGGACCTTTCTCTGTCCTGGCTTTCGTGATTAGGGGCCCCTACTAGTCCTGAGACCTGTTTTCTCTGAAATGCCCATTTGAGCTCTGAGGTTTTCTATCACTGAAGTGTTGGTGTTACCACGGTTTGTAGAGAGTGCGCAGTTTATCACAGCTACGGGTGTGCAGGTTATTGGACAGAAGTTTTGATTGGACACTTTGGTCTCGTGCTGCCTCCCGATAGAGTCTTCAACAATAGTGTCATCCTGTCACGGCCGATCAGAGCTGATGGCACATGGAGTGCTTCGGGGGTGCTGTGTGGAGGAGCAGGAGCTTGGTGTGGGTCAGCCTCTGCACGAGGGGGTTGAGCACATCCTTCTGGACTGAAGGAAACCACCCCAGGGGGCTCCTACACACCAGATCAGACCTTCATGGAAGGCGGCCGTTTTAGCCCCTCGCCTGTTCCAGACCTTTTGTTCTTCTGGTTGGACCGTCCCGTGCTCCCTCCTCTGGTTCCGGAGCGCCCCTGCCCTCTCTGTTTCTGCTTTCCTTCCTTGCGCTGCCCATCGCCCTCAGACACCTTTCTGATGTTCACGCCATGCTGTGATGTCAGCCCAGGAGACGGGACAGGACCTGGGGCGTGGTGTGGTGCACGCCAGTGTCCAAGGTGTCGACGGGCCTGCCCTCCCAGCGCTGGCACCACTGTGCTGTCTTATCGCTGACCTGTGATTTGGTCTAGACTTCCCTAAAATGTCTTGAAGGTGCTCTTGAGTCCAGGCAACTTTATACGTAGTGTGGGCCTGGGTGAGGGCACCTGCCCCTGTTCTTGACCAGTGTCTCCCCCAGATTGTTCAGTAGAAGGGATTGTGGGCTGCCTTTTCTCTTCTCTTGCTTCAGTCTGATTTTCTTTCCTTTTGGGCAAACCCTCCTCGTTTTTCTTACATGACTCAGTTGGAGTATGCTTTCATTCGATTTGCTTATTGAGGAGTTAGACCGAGAACTGAGGTATGAAAGTTTTTTTCCCCCTGGGGTGGCCAGGGAGTGCGGGGCTGATGATGCTCGCGTGCTCTAGGCAGGCACCTGCTTCGGGTCCCGGGCTGAGGAAGCCTGGAATTTGGTGTGGAAGTGCACAGCCAGGTTCTTGCTGTGGATGGAACTTAGGCCCGATGAGTCGAAGAGAGTGCGGAGGGTGGCAGGCGGGAGAAACGGCCTTATTCAGACTCTCCCTCAGACTTTATTATGGTCAGGTTTATTCAAGTGATCCCCAGTTTGAAAAGCCACCAGGAAAAACAAATATGGACCTCTTAGCTGGCATATGATGTGGACTGTGTTTAGCAGCCCAAGAAAGAACTCCCTGTCCCGAGAAGAGAGAGTTGGGCATTGTGACTTGAGTCAACAGAGGGCAGCTTGCAGATGCAGGCTTGCACCGTGCCAAACACAACCACTGGCTGTGCTGATGCCAAGGTCAGAGCTTCCTCGTGCCGCCCTTGAGAGTGGACTCAGGCTGGCCAGCGAGGGCGCCGGCTGGCGGCCTGGCGGGGACCCCAGATACCACAGGCCCTTGAGTCTGCAGAGCCGTGGGCGCTGGGAGGGCTCCTTCCTGTGGACTGTTGCTTTTTTGCCTGTGACAAGGAATCGGAGGAACTTCTTGGCAGAGGGAACATTTGAGTCTTGTGGGTCTGCTTGTTTCTTGTAGTTTTGGGGAGAGGGTAGTGACTGTCTCTCTTTCTCTCTCTCTCCTGTCCCCGCCAATCCCACTTCCTGGCAGTACCAGGTGAAGGTGTGCAGACATACTCATTGTTCGACCCCGCATTCTTGCCTGCAGCCTGCTGCTTCTCCCAGATTTTCCCAGGCCTGTGCTCCTGGCTGACCCTAGCCAACGGGACCTTGACCTCTGCCCCCTCCATCTTGCCACAAACCCCGAGCTCTGGCAGGCAAAGGCAGCAGCGCCTGGGCGAGGGCGGGGGCAGTCTGCATATAGACAAGGCTGTGTGGTGGCTCTCAGGAGGCTTTGGCTTGAAGTTGTGTGGCTAGTGGAGTTTGATTTCTAAACATTTACCAAAAGAGCACCCTTGAGTGAAATATCCCTCCAGGGATCCTCAGGTGCTTGTTTGCAGGAGCCCTTGTGAGTTGAGAGTCCTTAAGACTTTCAGGGGACTGTGAGGTTTCTCATCTTATTGTGTTGCTGTTGTGAGAGACACTCTGGTTGCTGTGTTGGCCGAGGGAGTGGGAAGGCCCCGTGCTGTTCTGTCAGCTGCTGCCACCCCGAGCCTGAGAAAGGCAGGTCAGGCGAGGGGTTCCCTGCAGTAGGTCAGGCTTGATCTGTGTTGATACAGTGACCTCGTTACCCGGCAGCTCCATGGCTACGCTGCAGCTGCCAGTGCTCCGGAGAAGAATGCAAATATCGAATGTCGCTGTCCTTTTGTCTCCCTCCCCAGGTGTTTAGGACAGACCTGATCACCGCGATGAAGCTGCACGACTCCTACCAGCTGAACCCGGATGAGTACTATGTCCTGGCCGATCCCTGGAGACAGGAGTGGGAGAAAGGGGTCCAGGTGCCAGTGAGCCCGGGGACCATACCTCAGCCGGTGGCCAGGTAGAGATGCTCCCGGAGAGGAGCGCTGCCCACCCTCCCGCCTGCCCTCGCCTTTCCTGACAGCCGGGCCCTGTGAAAAAAGCAGTTTCTGAGTTAGCAGTAAAGTAACAGGAGCTCTCAAGGTCAGGTAGAAACTCACTTCTGTCATAAAAGGTTGTGATTTTTTTCTTTTTTTTGAGAGGTTTTTGCTATGGGGTGCATGCGCTTGCCAGAGAGAGACAGAGACAGAGATGGAAAGTGAGACATCACTCCCCAGGGGATGGCCACACTGTAGTCCCTTCTCCATTCTCCTCTAGAGATCTTGGGTACGCACACACATGTGCCTGGCGTGAGTTTAAGCCACCGAGTCCAGGACTCGAACCGTGGTCGAATACATGAGAGCCCAGTGACATAGCCATTACGGCAACTGCTGGTCCCAAGGGTTGTGATTTTTTTAAAAAAATTATTTATTTTAAATTTTATTCATTATCATTACTCTTCAATTTTGACTAGAGAGAGACAGACAGAGAGAAAGGGAGAGTGAGAAAGCAAGCCATCAGGTTCGGGATTTGAACAGTGGCCGACCATGTGGGAGTCCAGCACTTCAACCACCATGTCACCCGCCAGCCCCAGGGTTGTGATTTCGAGGGCCTTAGACCTTCAACTCAAAATCATTATGACCCTCTTGGGAGGGAGGCGTTGCTCTCGTGTGAGAGGAGGGCAAGTACCAGGACATTCTGGCCATGACTGACTGGGAGTAGAATCCAGATGTTCACCTACTGCTTTCTTTCTTTTAAATCAAGAAAGAAATTATTTAATTTTCTTTATTTATATTACTATTTTTAAATTTGCTGTAGAGCGTGTGTGTATGTGTGTGTGTGTGTGTGTGTGAGAGAGAGACGCCAAGTCCAGGACTCCACACACACCGTTGGCCATGTGGGAGTCTGGTGTCTTAACCAACCACTGCGGCATCTTCCTTGCCCCATGCTGCCCCCCTTTTTAAAATGTGCTGTTGAGCATATGCACTTGCCAGAGAGACACAGGGAGAGAGGGGAAGTGAGAGCACCTCCCAGGGTGGGCGGCTCCATCAGGGTCCCTCCTCCATTCTTCTCTGGAGGATTTTGGGCATGTTTGTGCGCGCGCGCGCACACACACACACACACACACACACACACACGCAGAGTTGGTGTGTCTTTCAAGCCACTGGGTCCTGAACTCAAACTGTGCAGCTGGCCATAGGGGACCCAGATGCCAGAGCCACCATGCCACTGACTGTCTCTGCTGCTTCCTTTGCTCCCTTACTCCCTGTCCCCTCTGGAAAAAGGAGAGTCTGTCCTGAAGGTCAGATAATGCCCCCAGCCTGGTCTTGATGCCACAGTCTACCTCCATCTTCAGCCAGCTCTGGGTATTGGGCAGCTGTGCTTGGTGTGTACCCAGAAGGGTCTCCAGACGTGACCTGAGCCTTCCGTGTGGGCTGGCCCTGCAGTGTCATTTCTCCACCTGGACTTGTTGAACCAGCCGGGCAGCTTCGCAGGCCCGCAGTGGTCCGCTCCACCTTTGGAAGAGGGTGGGTGGGAGGAGACTTGCCAAGTGGGACTTTGTGGAAAGAGGACTCAGAGAGGAGAAATCTTTGGCGAGCTCGGGTGCGGTATTGTCAGTTGGTTGTTTTGGAGTGCGTTCTCTGGATGTGCTGAGCCAGCACGGGCCTCCTTCAGGATCTCCCAGTGTGATGGCCTCAGGGGCTGCCCTCAGAATCTGGTTGTGAGCAGTTTGGTCATTTCCTCTTTGAGGAAGGATCAGTGCCAGAACCTGGCTTCTCTGCCCTGTCAGCAGGTACCTCCACCTCTTGGCTCTCACCCACTTTGGGGCTCTTCAGGCACTTGGTATGGTCGCGTTTGATTGGACATTTGGGGATCTGAGGAATCTACCTGATGGGGGATGCACGTCCACGTCTCACGGCAGTCCCTGCGTCCTTCACAGGGAGGCTCAGGCGACCAGCCGGGGATAGAGTCCTGGCTGTGGCGTGGGCGTCCCCTGTGCTGCGCAGGATACACACGTATCCGAAGTCTGCCTTTCCTCGGGCCATCTCTCCGTGCCGCCGTTGCGGTGCGCATGAATGTCCTGGCTGACGCTCTCATCTTCTGCTGAGAAGAGAGGCCAGTGCCAGGTTCTTATTAGGCCGCGCTCCAAGGTCACTGTGGGGTTCCTAACCATGATGATGGAGGTGGTTACGCTGGGGAATTAGAAACCACTGGTAACCAGAGCTAGACAGGCTGCTGTGACCCTTAGGGGCACGTGAAACAAGTGTGGATGGATGGGCCTCCGATTTGACGTGCTCCTCTGTGACAGAAATGGCACAGTGACCTGCTCCTGTCCCAGCAGTCTGTTTTCACTGTCCTGCTGACCTCAGCTGGCACCACGGACCACGAAGAAACCAGACAACAGAACGTGTGTGTGGGAAAATCCTGGGATCCTTCTTCTAGGGATTCATAATGCACACGCACGTTCGAAGTGCCTCACTGGAAACGAAGAAAGAAGTCCGTCTGAGGTGTAGCCGCCCCGTCTCACCCGGCGTGGCTGTCCCAGCCCGGACATTACTTGCGGAATGCCTTGGTCTCCACTGGGAGCCCAGGACAGTGGGCGTGAGCATTCGCAAGGCTTGTGGATGTTCCTGTTGAAACCTGCTCTTGGTAGAGGAGAAGTCCCTTCCGTCTGCCCAGCTCAGTGTCACTTTAATAGCAGCACTGCAGTGACCCTGAGAGCGAGGACAGTACTCCACAGGCCCTTCAGGCACCACGAAGGCCCGACCGGGAAGTGTGCGGCGGAGATGTGGAGGGGCTCTGTGGCCCCGGGGGCCTCCTATGGGGAAGGCAGCGCTGTTCCAAGTCTGACGTGACCTGCTTTGCTCACGTGCACCCCCTGTGGAGTGGGATGAGGTGGAGAGCGCTTGGAAGGTGCACAGGTCGGGCGAGGGTATGTGCAGAGCGAGGAGAGGGAATGACAGGTCCCATACCTGGGGTCACAGCATGAAGGGAGAGTCCCTACGGGGAAATGGGACTCTTCTCTGTCGCTCGGTATGGACTGTAGTTCCTCTCCCAACTGGTAGGTTTCTTAGGATTGGCTGAGGCCTAGTTGTCTCTCTGCACTTTTTTTTTTTTTTTTTTTTTTTTTTTTAGGGAGGATGAGAGTTTACAGGTGTAATCCCCCATGACAGGTCCCATACCTGGGGTCACAGCATGAAGGGAGAGTCCCTACGGGGAAATGGGACTCTTCTCTGTCGCTCGGTATGGACTGTAGTTCCTCTCCCAACTGGTAGGTTTCTTAGGATTGGCTGAGGCCTAGTTGTCTCTCTGCACTTTTTTTTTTTTTTTTTTTTTTTTTTTTAGGTAGGATGAGAGTTGACAGGTGTCATACCCCCACCCCCCGCCAGCTCCCAGCATCCTGCTGTAAGTGCCCTGCTGGTGTGGCCAGTGTCACGACTTCTGCCACCTCAGATGTTGAGCACCCAGTGCTTGGTCAGGGCGGCAGCGATGGCAGTCCTGGCAGGGTGTTCAGTGTTGGCAGCAGGTCCGAGTCTCTACCGTAGGTGGTGGCACAGCAGCTGCTGGGAAGCTGGCGGGAGACCTGCAGTTTGTACTTGTGTCCTCTTCCACTTCTAGGCAGGGTTCAGTCGGCAGGGACAGTCGAGTTTCTGGCCTTTGCTCTTTCTGACTCTGGTAGTGACTTGGGGTTCTGAAGCTTGGAGGCGGGAGCTGCCCCTCGGGCCTCTGACGGACCTCCTGTGTGGCACAAGGGTAACCCGGTACCTTGTTTTCCTGTTAACAGAGTTGTATCTGAAGAAAAGTCACTCATGTTCATCAGGCCCAAGAAATACATCGTGTCCTCGGGCTCCGAGCCTCCCGAATTGGGCTACGTCGATATCCGGACGCTGGCCGACAGCGTCTGCCGCTATGACCTCAACGACATGGACGCTGCCTGGCTGGAGCTGACCAATGAGGAGTTCAAGGAGATGGGTGAGCGGCTACGTGGTGTATGATGTCCTTAACTCGCGGTGGGCGGAGACGCGCTTGGGCACGGCGGGGAGTCAGGACGCCAGCCCTTCCTCCTCCCCCCCCTGGCCAGGCTCCATGTGGCACAAGGGTAACCTGGTACCTTGTTTTCCTGTTAACAGAGTTGTATCTGAAGAAAAGTCACTCATGTTCATCAGGCCCAAGAAATACATCGTGTCCTCGGGCTCCGAGCCTCCCGAATTGGGCTACGTCGATATCCGGACGCTGGCCGACAGCGTCTGCCGCTATGACCTCAACGACATGGACGCTGCCTGGCTGGAGCTGACCAATGAGGAGTTCAAGGAGATGGGTGAGCGGCTACATGGTGTATGATGTCCTTAACTCGCGGTGGGCGGAGACGCGCTTGGGCACGGCGGTGAGTCAGGACGCCAGCCCTTCCTCCTCCCCGCCCTGGTCAGGCTCCAAATCAGGCTCCTTGGAGGTTGGCTTGTGGGGCCCCTTGGATGTGTTGAGGTAGATTTGGAAGCCCTATGGGGCTCATTTATGGCTCGGAGAAGAGTGGTGGGTCCAGTATGGATGTTTCCATGGGCACGGAGTTGGGCAGCTGGTGGCCAGGCACCATGCACTTTTCCATCTCTGATCGGATTGTACCTGCTCACTTGGTTAGCAAAGGAACAAGCCTGAGGAGGCTGGGATAGCCGGAGGTGTCCACGATGTCCTGCTCTAGTGTCCCTTCTGCTATGACGCCATCAGATCCCTTCCTCTGTGGCCGGGCCTGCTGTGTCTCAGATGAGCCCTTCCGCAGCCGGGCTTGCCATTTCCAAGCTCATCACTGCTGTTTTCACCTCACTGGTTCCCCTGAAGTCCTTCCCCAAACCTGGAGTGCTGTCCCCCTGCCGCCTGTGTACCACCACCCTGCCTTTCCTTAGCCGAGCACCCCGTCCGCTGCCTTCTCTCTCCTGGAAGTTACTCATCTTCGTGCATGTTGATGTGGAGCTTCTGCACCCCAGGAAGTTGCGTCTCAGTGTCAGGACTCCATGGCCTGTGGGTATGTCCCACATGCTGATCCTGACTGCTAAGGGTGGCCTCGAAGGTCAAGTCCATGCTCAGGGTGAGTTACTTACTGAGGAAGTAGTCCCGAGATGTTCGGTGCTAGCTTGCAAAGCCCTGAAAGGCAGACTATGTTCCTTTGTGTCTTCCTTGGAGCCTAGCATGGGATCTGTCCTGCCTTTTTTGCTCACCAAGGAAGAATGGGAGCCATCAGGAATGTTATGATCTATTTTGACAGATAAAGTAGGTCTTTTCTTCTTGGTTCTTGCTTTAAGTATTAGTGGCCAGCACGTTAGCAGGCTGAGATCGTTTACAGAATGTTCATAAGTTTTTTGACCTCTTGGAAACAAATGCTGTATTGTAGCTTCATAGATGATAGAGATCTGCTTCGCAAGTGGCTTTATGAAGAACTGTGTAGAAAACTTGGCTGGCTGTAGGTGTCTTATGAATAGGTCCAGGGATGTAGCACGTAGACTCCTGGGGCTTTTGTGAGTGTTTTAAGTAATAAGAACTAGGCTAATTTTGCGGATTTAAAAGATATTGCTGAGTATTTTGGCAGGATAAATTAAGTAGTTGCATTGCATCAAAAAAAAAAAAAAAACAACTCACATGCTTAAAGACATTTTCCCTAGTAGTTACTGACCTTCATATGTAAAAATTAATTGTAGGGCATAGCATTGTATTTTGAAAGCCAGTGCTTAACGAGGTATTTTCAAATCTGGTAGGAAGAATTGGGATAAAATGCTGATGAAAATGCCTGTTCATGGAGAAACCACCTCATAATAGGGTGGTTTTTCGAATGTGTTTAGGGTTTATTCCAAGCAGGCTGTAATATATTCTCCAAATTGTTCAAAAACTTGAAAAGTTCATTTGATGGTTTCAAAATTTTAAGTTGTCACAGGCTCTAATGACATTTCCTTTTGGGGGGGGCACTCAAATGTTCCCTTTGAGTGATGTTAGGGGTTTTTTTTGCTATAGGGTATATGTACTCGCTGGAGAGACAGAGATAAAGGGCAAATGAGAAATCACCTGCCAGAGGGGTTGGCCATACTGTCATCCCTTCTCCATTCTCCTCTTGGGACTTTGGGCTGTGTGCACACGCCCCAGTGTGATTTTATTATTTTTTTAAATTAAAACAAATTTTTTTGTTTTTAAGGATTTTGCCATAGGGCGAGAGAGAGAGAGAGAGAGAGAGAGAGAGGTAGAGAGGTAGAGAGGTAGAGAGGTAGAGATAGAGATAGATAGATATCACTTCCAGGAAGAAGGGCCACACCATAATCCTTTCCCTCCATTCTCCTCTTAGGATTTTGGGTACACATGTGCATGTGCCTGGCATGATTTTCAAGCCACCAGGTCCTGGCCTTTAACCCTGGTTGGCCATGTGGGATCCAGTGCCTTAACCTCCATCCCAACTGCTGTTGGCCTCTTGAGGGTTTTTCTTTTTAAATTAATCTCTTTAAATTTGACCAGAGAGGGACAGAGAGAGAGGAAAAGTGAGAAAGCAAACTGCCAGGTCTGGGACTTGAACTGCAGTCTGTCATGTGGGAGTCCAGCGCTCTTAACCACCACGCCTCCTGCTGGCCTCATGTTTTCTTTTAAATTGTTTTTAAGGTTTATTTTATTCATGATAGAGTCTGTGTATGTGAGAGAGGGAGAGAGAAGCACCCTTGACAGGGTCTCATGTCCCCAGCCCTCCAGCTCCTCAGGATCCTCCGCGTGTGCCTGCTGAGTTTTCAAGCCAGCCTAAGGTCCAGCCCACGGTTGGCCACGGGGCTTCTAGCACTATAGTTCGGTTGATCCACCAGGCTGGGCCTGAGTATTTTCTATAACCTTTCTTGGACACCCTCCCCACCCCCACCCCCGCCTCTGTGCACCAAGTATTTTTATGGTAGGAAGTTTGGAAAATATTCACAAGTAGAAAAAGATCAAAGTTTTATTCCACTAGTTATAACCACAATAACCACTTGACATTTATTTTTGATCTTTCTCGCATAAGAGTACATTTCATTTGGCTTACAGTGGGCTACCTCCTTTGCTTCAGACATTTCTTTGAGTTTTAGTTTTTCATGCGTCCGATTAACTATGCATTTCAACTTAGTGCAACTCAGAGGGAAAGGAAGGATAAACCAGTTAAAAATGGTAGAGTGCTAGCAGTAAAATCTGTTTTCAGATGTTATTTTAAGCACCAAGAAAGGAGATTTTTAAGAAACACTGAAGACATAATTCTCAGTCATGGTTTCGAAGTCGTTTACGTGCCGGTTGTTTTGTGTAGCAGTTAGGAAGTGGCTGATGTGACCGCGTGTGTGTTTGATAGCCGGGAATACTTTTGGAATTTAGCTTCTGCTCTTCTGCTTAGCGTACTGCACCTGCAGCACTTGACCCCCAGGAACAGACTTGCCTAGAGATGGAAAGGCACTATGCCTTTAACTTAATGATCCTTCCTTGGAGAGACTTGAGGCATGCCGTAGTAAATCTGGGGGTGCTTAGGGATGAATTGTTTATACTATAATTTATGCATCATAAATTTATAAGCATGACGAACCAACAAGGGATTTGTCGTAACGTTCATCGTTACGCAACGTGGGTTTGTTAAAAGTGGGTTCTGCGGCACTGTTCCTTCAGGGATGCCGGAACTGGATGAGTACACCATGGAAAGGGTCCTGGAGGAATTCGAGCAGCGCTGCTATGACAACATGAACCACGCCATAGAGACCGAAGAAGGCCTGGGGATCGAGTATGACGAGGATGTTGTTTGTGACGTCTGCCAGTCGCCAGACGGGGAGGACGGCAACGAGATGGTCTTCTGTGACAAGTGCAACATCTGTGTGCATCAGGTGTGTGGCGCAGCGGCCCCAGGAAAGACGCCTGGGATAGGAGCCCTCTACCAGTGGAACTCGGGAACGCCAGGGTTGCTCCCTCTACCGGGGTTCAGTTTTCATCTGTCAGAAGTCCTGTAAAGAAATGTGTCCCTGTACATGGCTTTTTTCCATCCTAGTAGGTTCTTAAAGGTTCAAGTATGTCCTAAAGCTCTTATAACCAGACGACTGGGAGCCCCTGTGGGGATCTTTCTTCATAGAGTGTTTTTATTCTTATCCATAGAAGTCAAGTTTCTTTAAAAACAAGGAACTTCAGAGCCCCCCCTGTCCTGCTCCCACATCTGAGTTTTATGTGTTGAGAGTACTGAAAAAAGAAACACACTTGTGATAAAGTGGTTAGTTTCCTAATACAAAGTAACAAATTGAAACAGCAATTCATTGTCTAAGGTTCTGGAGGCTAGAAGTCCAAAATCAAGATGCAGGCAAGGCTCTGCTCCTTCTGAAACATGTTGGAGTCCTTCCTTGTGTCTTGCTAGCATTTGGGGGTTTGCTGGCACTCCCTGGCATTCCCTGGCTTGCAGCTGCCATCCATGTCACCCTGTTAGTCTGTGTCTTCATTTAAGGACACCAGTCATTGGATTAGGGCCCGTCCTGCTTCAGCGTGTTCTCATCCTAATTAATTACATCTGCCGTGATCCTGTTGCTAAATTCGATCACACATTTTGAGGCAGCGGGGATTAGGATTCACCATGTCTTTGTTGGGGACAGGAGTCACCCCCTGCCATTTGTCAGCATGCGTTAGTGTATAAACTGAGCTGTTGATGGAGAGGAAGGTTGCCCGCCACTTCCTGTCCTCTCTCATGGTAATAGGATTTATTTTGTTGCTGGCTTCCATCCACAGACAGATCCATCCTTAGACTTCAGTGAGAATGGGTATTTGGGAACTTTCTGACAGCCTCAGTACTTCTTACCTCTTTTATTTATTTTTTAGTGCAGCAGTGAACTAATTTGGGCTTGTGTGAGGCTGTGCCCACTCATACCCTTTGAATTCAAACCATCCTGAGCTACTTTATTTGCATTCACTTGTTGCTGCTGAAATTTAAAATGAACTTGGATTTGGGCCCAACACTTGACTGGGTGACCGGTCGGGAGAAGAGTCAGGTTTGCTCTCTGACACTCTTGGGCGTCATTTTCTCTGTTCCTGCTCTGCCTTGTGAGGCTTTACTTCTGTGTGGAGATTTCAGCAGCTGTGGCCTTGTCCCAGCTCATTGCGACAGGGAGACTTGAGACGGTTATCTCTTGCCTTTGTGCCGTAGCCCATCTGGCGGCTCTGGACTCCATCCTGTCTGTCTAGGAAGTTTCCTGTGGAGGGTGGAGAATGCTCGCGGCGGTGCACTGAGCTCTGCCCATGAGCAGTGTGACCTCGATCCTTGCACTCCTGTCGCCGGACCTCCTGTGTGTACTTGGATAACTTTCCCTCATCTTTCTTTGGGATGGTGGTGGCAGAAAGCACCCCCAGTGGGACCTATTCACTGTGCAGTCCTTTCAGCATTTCCTCCCTCCTGTAGGGTTTGAGTCTAGCATGCATGTGCGCTTGGTGTGGTTTTTAAACTGCTTGATCTGGGATTCGATCCAGAGTGGGCCATGTGGGATCTGGCTTCCTTAGGCGCCAAGCTGTGAAGCTGGCCTGACTATCAGGCTTTCATGCCATTCTGCTTTTTGTTTCTTCCTGTAAAGTACTTAATTTGGGGAAAGGAGGATTCTTCTTAAACTAGTTGAAGTCCCCCTTCCCTTTTTAGAAATAACCTCCTGAGATGATTTCCTCCATCTTCTCTAGAGATTCTGAGATATGTATGCACACATGCCCAATGTGATTTTTCTTCTTTTTTTTATCTTTTTAATTTAATTTAATTTATTTACTTACTTAATTTGGCAAAGAGGGACAGAGAGAGAGAGAGAGGGAAAGTGAGAAAGCAAGCCACCAGGTCCAGGACTCAAACCGCACTCGATCATGTGGGGAGTCCAGCACCCTCAACCACCATGCCATCTGCTGGCCCCAATATCTTTTTTTAAAAAAAGAATCATTTTATTTAACTTTATTTATTATTATTATTTTCCAATTTGACCAGAGAGAGGGAAAATGAGAAAGCAAGCCACCGGGTCTGGGACTTAAACCGTGGTCAGTCATGTTCGAGTTCAGTGCCCTTAACTACCATGCAACCTGCTGGCTCCCCAGCGTGTTTTTCAAACTGCTGGGCCCAGGACTTGAACCACAGTAGGCTACGGTGGGAGTCTAGCGCCTTAACCACCATGCCACCTGCTGACCCTTGGACTCCCGTGGGTTAGTGGCAAAGCCGGAGCTGGAACTACCTTCCCCCGTCTTCTGTTCTGCCTGCTGTACCCCCTTGTCTCTTCCTTCGCGTTCACTTGATTCGGAGAAACCTTTAATGGCTTGTCTTTAAGGCATACTTACATTATTTAATCCTTTAAATTAGCTTAGGTCTGCTTTCCCAGTTTTTAAAAATGATCTTTTCAAGTTGTGATTCTCTAGAAGGCATGATACAGACCTTTAGTGTCTGAAACCTTAATAGTGTCATTTAGCACCATTAGATGTTTTCCTTTCAGTCCGCCTTGTGTTGACAGTGGCTTATTCACGGCCCCGCCACGCCGCTCCCGGCCCCTGTCTCCGTGTGGCTCTCCTGCGCTTGCTCTCACCCTGTGGTTTCCTTGTCGCGTCCTGGGTGTGCAGATTGCAGAGCGGCTGTGTTTTTTCTGTCTGGAGAACTCGAGCTGCGTTTCTGTGACTCTCAACTTCCTGGCTTCCAGTTCATTTAAGGATAAAGTCCTGAGCAGTCGGGTTCTTGGAGGGCTCTGAGTGTGCTCCTGGTAGCATCGTGGTTTTGTTTCTTCACTTATTTAACATTTGCCTTTTCTCTCTTTGAGCTATCTTAATTACTTCAGTTGTAAAAGCCTTGATTTCTGCAGTTTATGCCGAATTGTGTAATTTTTGCCATCTTGTGCAAAATGGGCATTGTTTTAAATATCAGCTCAAGAGACCAAATTTCGTCTGCCTAGGACATCTCTTTTTCCTGTCTCTGTTGGGAGAAGGTTGGAACCAGGTCCAGCCTGGGGCCTGGATGCAGGGGCCCTGGGTGCAGGGGCGGGCCTCAGGTGGCTTCCTTGACTTGCTGGAGGCTCCACTGCCTGCCCCACCCTCCTCAGTGAGGCCAGAGGGGCAGCTCCCCGCCTCCCCTCTGGAGTGTTAGGATTGCTGCTCAGGATTGAGAAGCTGGCATAGGCGAGCTTCTGTGTCAGTACACAGCACTTTGCTTTTCCTTTCTTTCCCTTTTTTTGGGGGCGGGGGGTCACCACGTCTGTCCTTCAGTAGTTCTCAGGACCACTGTCTACTAAGTGAATATGCCTTGTGCCTGCAGAGCTACTACACCCACTGAGTGCCACGGGGAGGCGCCTGGGGTTTTCCTGAGGCACAGCTAGGTGGACGGGGCCACAGCTCGGTGGATGGGGCCACAGCTTGGTGGACGGGGTCACAGCTAGGTGGATGGAGGTCACAGCTAGGTGGATTGGGGGGGTCACAGCTAGGTGGACAGAGGTTGCAGCTGGGTGGACAGGACCACAACTTTGTGGACGGGGTCACAGCTAGGTGGACAGGGTCACAGCTAGGTGGACAGAGGTTGCAGCAAGGTGGACAGGGCCACAACTTGGTGGATGGGGTCACTGCTAGGTGGTTGGGGGTCACAGGTAGGTGGACGGGGCCACAGCTAGGTGGAGGGTGGTCACAGGTAGGTGGATGGGGCCACAGCTAGGTGGATGGGGGTCATAGCTAGGTGGACAGAGGTCGCAGCTAGGTGGATGGGGCCACAGCTTGGTGGATGGGGTCACAGCTAGGTGGATGGGGGTCATAGCTAGGTGGACAGAGGTTAAATTCTTCCTTACGTGGCCACACACACACACATGGGGCCACAGCTAGGTGGACAGAGGTCGCAGCTAGGTGGATGGGGCCACAGCTTGGTGGATGGGGTCACAGCTAGGTGGATGGGGGTCATAGCTAGGTGGACAGAGGTTGCAGCTAGGTGGACGGGGCCACAGCTAGGTGGAGAGGGTCACAGCTAGATGGAGGGGGTTTACAGCTAGGTAGACAGGGTCACAGCTAGGAGGACGGGGCCATAACTAGGAGGATGGGGCCACAGCTAGGTGGATGTCTCTACTTAGCTACTTAGGGGGTGGTTCTGTTAAAATCTTCCTGTTTGTTTTACATAAAGAGATATAATGGGGAAGAATAAGGCTCTTCTCTTTCTTTTCCTTGGGGCTGTGCCGTGGCATTACAGGCCTGTTATGGGATCCTCAAGGTACCAGAAGGCAGCTGGTTGTGCCGGACGTGTGCCCTGGGGGTTCAGCCCAAGTGTCTGCTGTGCCCCAAGAAAGGCGGTGCTATGAAGCCCACCCGCAGCGGAACCAAGTGGGTCCATGTCAGCTGTGCCCTGTGGATCCCCGAGGTAAGTGTGGTTCCATAGCTCCTTAGCTCAGAAGGCCTTGTTTTTCACTGGGATTGGGTGGGCAGGGGGACCCGCTCACAGCTAGGGACAGTGTACATGACATTAATGGCTGCTGTTACCCTGAATCCCAAGCACACGGTCATTGTTGCACGTGCATTTACGGGAAGTCTAAGGGAAGCAGCAGTGGGGTGGACTGAGCGAGGTTGGAGGTGCTCAGCCTCTCCTCCACGTCCATCACACTGAGCCTTCCAAGGCCCCCCTACCCCCACAGACCAGAGTGTTGGCCGCCTCTGGCCTGGGCGTGTCTGTCCTTCCCTAAGGACTGGTGTAAGTCCTTGTGTGGCAGGTCGTACATGTGGCACCACTGCGGTTAGAAACCAACACTCTAGGTCAAGCTTTTGTGTTTTTTTTTTTTTTTTTTTTAAATTCTTCCTTGGCCTCAGCCTTTTTAATTTCAGGTCTGGTCTAATTTATTTCAAGTTCCAGACCTTGACTAATTTAATTTGCATGGCTCACTATGAGAATATCATTTGTGATTCAAATTTCTACAATTTTTGGTGTGTGGATTTTGGTACCTTTTCCTCCTGCGGAAAATTACCTGGGAGTGATTTGGATTGAGGCTTCATGATTTGGGTCCTGCTAGCACCAGAGCTCATGGCGTGGTGTCAGTGGTGAGTAGTGATCGGGGTGGCTGCGGGCATGACTACCTGATTTGTTGGTAGTTTTCCATGCTGGGTGTGGTCGCGTTTTCTCACTAAAGATTCAGACTGTTGCGTTGTCAGAAAAGTCACAACATTTTTTTCTATGCAAAAATACATCGTGACTTTTTCGACAACCCTGTAGTTTATATTTGCTCCGTCGTCGACTACTGTTAAACATACATAAGGTGGATATTTAGCCTTGACCAGTTCCCTCTGGGGCAGAGGTATAGTAGACTGCATTGTCTTTGCAATCTCTCGGGTGAGAAATGAGCACTCTGCTACCTGACTGGTTTTGTTTATTTTATTTTTTGGTTTTTGCTATAGGGTGCTTGTACTCACAGGAGATAGACGCAAAGTGAGAAATCAGCCCCCAGGGACGATACCTATGCCGTAGCCCTTTCCTACTCTATGCTCTCGGGAGTTGGGAAATATGTGCGTGCATGCATACACACACACACACACACACACACACACATAAATACATACCTCACATACCTCGCGAGAGGTTTAAGCCACTAGGTCTCAGACTCAAACCACGTTGGCCACGCTTTGCCCACCACACCACCTGCTGGCCCTTACCTGACTCTTTACAAGCAGGGATGTCTGCTCTGGCTGGGGTCTGGGCTCCGGGCTTTTCTCCCGTTGGGCCAGAGCTGCAGCCCTGGGGCTGGCCTGATGCTTTTAAAGTAGGGGTTTGCTGGTTCTAGAGGGCGAGGGCCCTTGCCACTGTCTGGCTGGAGGGATACGGGGAAGTAATGGATGTTCGCGTTTCCCGTGTTGAATAGCCTCTGATGGCCTTGTCACCTGTCTTGCTATTTGGCCTTCCAGGTGAGCATCGGCAGCCCCGAGAAGATGGAGCCCATCACCAAGGTGTCGCACATCCCCAGCAGCCGGTGGGCACTCGTGTGTAGCCTCTGCAATGAGAAGTTTGGGGCCTCCATCCAGGTAATTAGCAAGAGCGGCTTATTTTTCTTTCCGAGTCGTAGGCGGCAGGATGAACGAGGGCTCTGAACTGTGGGTGGTTTGGAGGAGAGTAGGATCCCGGAGGCCGGGTGAGCCTCTGACAGCCCTCCTGAGGTTCCAAGGGTGGCTCCTGGCCAGTGCGAACACCTCGAGTCGGCCGATGTCCCCTGAACTTGGACAGGCACGGGGTCAGCTGAGTCTGCCTGGTGGTGAGGTAGCCGGACTCTGTTCCTCCCACGCTGTCCTAAACAGACGACTCCCGAGAAGAGCCAGCATGTTAGAGCTGCTGCTTGCTGTAGTGCTCGAGCCAGCCACCTCCTACTACAGTCCCCGTCATCACCGTAGCTGCAGACCCACCTGCGGCTGCCTCCTGGGACTGCTGCTTGACGAGGAGTGTGCACACCTGTTTGTAATCAGCTGGGCACCCTGGTGCTTTCCATGTGTGGGGAAACAGACTCCTTGAGGCACCGACTGGGCAGAGGGGCATCCACAAGTTGCCGCACTGGGCACCGTTTGCATGCATAGTTACCTGATCTGCACGATTTGGATATCGGGTTCTTGATGGCCGTGTGTGGGTGGGGAGAGCGCCCAGATGCAAAACCATTGCTTGTATTCGTGTCCAGGTCCGAGGCAGGTAGAACCAAGAGAACGCAGACAGCATCTATGTCATCTAATATCCCGAGCAGCTCGTTTCTGGGGCTTACAGGATAAAATAAAGCCAGTCGTGATATGAGAAGGTCCAGCCTGGCGCTCCTCTGGGATATACCAGCATAGGCCATGGCTTCGTGCTGAATTTCCTCATTGAATTCTGAGAGCAGAGGACCTATTTTAGGTCACTTTTTGATGCAGAAAACAACAGCCAGGGACAGGCATAAACTCCATGAATGTGGTCAAATTGCCCACTGTGGGTTTTAAAGGACCGCAGTGGTCAAAATCAGCTCATAATCTATCTGAAAATCTCTATCCACACAGTACCCATTAACTTCAGGCTTTAATTTTCCCCTTTTTTTCAAGAATTGTTTTAATTTTATTTATTCATCCCATTTATTTTAATTTGACCAGAGAGAGACAGAGAGAGAGGGAAAGTGAGAAAGCAAGCCACCAGGTCCAGGACTCAAACCATGGTCGACCATGTGGGATTATCCAGCGCCTTAAGCACCATGCCACCTGCTAGTCCCCTAATTTTTCTATTTTTTACAATCCAAGAGGTTCTGCTTTTTTCCTCATTATCACTTCTATCAGTCTTGACTATTCCAGATGTGACAGAAATACTCAAGAGGTTGGGGCCAGTGACAGCTGGTGGGGATAGACAGGAGACTTTGAAGATAGTGAAGAGATTTTCTTATGTGAATAGAATCAATTTTAAAGTAAAACATGACGGATTCCTCTGGCCTGAGAGCTAGATTGTGGACAGAGAGTTGAGGAAAAATAACAAAAGGCACAAGCACTGTGTGTGTGAGTGAGTGTGTGCACACGTGTGCCCCAGGGAGGTGGACATCATTTTCTTGCATGTTACCTGATGTTCTTCTGAGCAGAGTTTATGCCCTTTCCCGAGCACCCCGAGCATATCCTGGTCCTTAATTGATGTTTAAATGAGGTAGGCAAATGGGATCTTTGTTTCCCATTTGAAGAGGGACGATATAATGACTTTCACTTTCTCATTGCCACTGACCTCTTTTTCCCCAGAACATTAATTTGAAGGAGAAGTGGCCAAGGAAGGCTGCTGATTTTTCATATCTGCACAGAATGGATAGATTTTATTAAAAGAATTCCGCTCTGAACGTCTGCAGCTGTGAAGGCTCTGGTTGACGTTTTTGTAACATCTGTTTGCTGAGTCAACCTGAATAGGAAAACCCAGAGGAAGGCCACTGGGCGTCTTTCCAAAGGCCTGTATAAATACTCCGCTGCAGCTCATTTCTCTTTAAGGTTAGCGCGCTCGGGTTAAGTGTGGTGTAAGCCAAACACAGATAGTGTCTCGGGCGCCTGTTCCTGCTTCTACTTCCCTCTTGGGCGCGGGCTGCAGGGAGGAGCCCTGGGTCTCTTCGCCATAGTGGCCAGGTGTGCGTGTGTGTTCTGCCACCAAAGCTGATTTCACGTCTTTCTTGGAATTAAAGTTATTTATAGATAAAATCCTAGATTCACATTCAGGTGTTGGTGATAGAAGAGCTGGGATTTCTGTACCCTGAGTGAGAGCCCTCACAGGGACAGCAGAAGTCCTGGCTGTCTGTGAGTCACCTCAGATACTGAGCGGATGAGGGGACAGAGCCCCAGCACTAGCTTCTGCCGTCCGTCCCCAGGGCTGTAGCCAGGGTCTGCGGAGCAAGTTTAACGCAGCTTCTCAGTCGGCCTGCCTCTGCAGCCCTGGCGTGCCCTGGGAGCGCCTGGCCCCAAACAGTACAGTGTTGCTTTTACGGGACTGACTTCAGTCTCAGCGAGGATGCTCCTTCCAGGGATTTGAGCAGAAGACCAGACGGGGAGAAGTTAACCACTCTGCTCCTTGTAGGCCAGAAGCTTTCGGTCCTGTCCAGGGCACTAAGTAGTAGCCCTGTAAGGTGGCGAGCCGGGTGGGGGCGGGGTTTCTGTGCAGCTTGATGAGCCCGGCTGCTTGTTGGTCGCCCTGGGATCTTAGGGTCCCGCTGCTGCTCTTGTGCTGCCAGGCTGGCATGCACAGAGCTCAGGCCTGGCACTGTAGCTCCCAGCAGCCTTCCTCATCCAGCCAGGCACCTTCACTGGTGAGAGACCATCCCCGTCTCTCTGGTGCTGGGGCTCCTTGTCCCTGTCTTCGCTGCTCTCTTGGGCTGTCACTCGCCTTCCTCAGCTGTGACCCCCCCTGCTGCTGCCTGAGGAAGCGGATCATTTGTCTTCCCATCTGTGTGGGAGTCTTCCCTGGCTGTGGGTCAAAGTGAGGATGGACACAAGTTCCTTCTAAAGCGCTGAGATTCTGTGAGGTTGTAGAAACACCAAGAGAGCTCAGATCTGTAAGAAAATCCAGAATAATGCCTCAGAGCACTCTCAGCCTGTCGAGCACATTTTTTTTTAAAAGAGATTTTTGCTGTAGGGCACATGCACTCGCAAGAGACAGAAAGTGAGAAGTCCCCTCCTCTTAGGGGGGGATGACGTACTATAATTCCGTCTCCTCCATTCTCCTGGGGATTTTGGGCATGCACGCACACCGCCTGGCCTGAGCCTCGAGCCAGGGTCCAGGAACTGGACCTGGCCGCAGGTCAGGTGACTGCAGGAGACCACATGGAAGTCCAGCGCCTTAACCACTACGACACCTGCTGGCCCCAAGAGCACTTTTCTTTGGAGTGAGATCTGTGCCATTGGTGTAATTACCAGAGAGGGGGACAGTTGTGATTTGGTTTGTCAAACCTGTCATCTGAAGGGTTTCCTTACATCCCAAGCCTTTCCGCGACTAAAACTGTGCCAAACTGCGAGGGCCAGATTACGTGGAACTCATCTGTCTCAGCACATGTGTACAGCGTGCTGCTTCTGTGCATGCGGGTACAGGAGCGCTTCGGTCCCTGTCACTCCATAACGGTGTCTTGTCTTGTTCTCTGCATGTCCTTGCCAGTGCTCTGTGAAGAACTGCCGCACAGCCTTCCACGTGACCTGTGCTTTTGACCGGGGCCTGGAGATGAAGACCATCTTGGCAGAGAACGACGAGGTCAAGTTCAAGTCCTACTGCCCGAAGCACAGCTCACACCGCAAGCCCGAGGAGAACCTGGGTGAGGGCCCCACGCAGGAGAACGGGGCCCCCGAGTGCTCCCCCAGGGAACCGCTGGAGCCCTTTGCCAGCCTCGAGCAGAACCGGGAGGACGCGCACCGGGTGAGTGTCCGCAAGCAGAAGCTGCAGCAGCTGGAGGACGAGTTCTACACCTTCGTCAACCTGCTGGATGTCGCCAGGGCCCTGCGGCTGCCCGAGGAAGTGGTGGATTTCCTGTACCAGTACTGGAAGTTGAAGAGGAAGGTCAACTTCAACAAGCCTCTGATCACCCCAAAGAAAGACGAAGAGGACAATCTAGCCAAGCGGGAGCAGGATGTCTTGTTTAGGAGGCTGCAGCTGTTCACGCACCTGCGGCAGGACCTGGAGAGGGTAATGATCGACACTGACACCTTATAGTGACTTAGAGAAGAAGACGCACAGAGGCGCACGCTCGCCAGAGCAAGAAGTGATAGCCAGTCCTTTATCTCAGACCCTGTACACACCGCAGCATGAGGTCGTGTTGGTTACATATACCCGTGGGTCGGTAACTCATCGTACATACGTGCAAGACTGCCTCAGAGTGGGGAGCTGCTTTGTGATTTTTTTTTTTAAACACTTTCCCATTACTGTTCTGCAAAATTACATGGGGTGTGTCTTTTCCCCCCTTCGTTCTAGAGCTAGAGGGAACAGAGCCCTGGGAGACCGACTGAAGGGTTAACTCAGAATTATTTACAGACGGACTTAGAAACCCAGAATGAGTTTAAATAATGGAGCAGAGGCAGAAGCTGGGAAACTCACTAGGTGCTGGGGATGGGCCGAGAAGAGCTGAGCACGGCCTCCCACTGGCACCCCTCGGGTTCTGGCTGCTTGCGGGAGCCTCCCCAGTACTGCCATGAGTGGGCCGCAGGGGTGCGTCTGCGCTGACGTCCACATGCACTGCTGCTCCGGGAGGTGCTAAGTCGTCACTGCGGCTGTGTGTGTGTGCGCGTGTGCATGTGTGCTGTGCGTATGTGCACGTATGCACGCACGTGTCTGTTCATGTGCCTGGCGTATCTGTGTGGGTGTGGGGGAATTCCTGTGCACAGGGACCTCAGATCATCTGAGGAGCCTGCCCCTGCTGACACAGCACAATGCGATGTGGAGTGCACTCCTGGGGGCAGGATGCGGTGCTGCCCCTGTCAGGTCCCACAGTCTAGACCTCCCACCTGCCCAGGAACCATTTGGAGGGGGCTGTCTCCCCCCAGGGCCTTCTGCTCCCTGCAGGTGGTTTCTCACTGTGGCTTGCTAATTGGGGAGGCCTCTTGTCTTGAGCACCTCCTGCTACACAAGTCCCCTGGCTGCTGGCTACCGATTAAATTCATTTGTGCGGGAGGGCTATCTTGAGCACCTCCTGCGACAAGTCCCCTGGCTGCTGGCTACCGATTAAATTCATTAGTGTGGGAGAGATGGGACCGAGGTTTTCTAGCCTGAAGCAGCCTGCACTGAAAGACACCCAAGTGGCCTGAACAGTTAACGCATCTCCCCAAACACCTCTCTTTATTAGTGGGGAGTGAGTCACCTGCCCGGGAGAGCATATGACTCGGGATGCTTTGAAACGATAGCACAGGCAAAGAGCAAGCATAGAGACGGGAAGCACGAACCAGCAGATGGAGCCTGCACGGAATGGCCCTCTCAGAGGTGGCACAGAAGTACAGGATCTTTAAGTGCTCTTTAGGGACCCTTTTTAGGACATCTCGGAGTGCTGGCTTACTGGGATATCCCTTCCTTTCCAGGCGGCAGGCTCAGGCTGAGGGGGAGGCTGGAGGTTGGAGGCTTGAGCACAGTAGGTTTGGGAGGCTTTTCTCGTGCTCCCATGTGCCCCCTGGTGGTGAGTGTAAAGAAGACCTTGCCTCTCAGCCACAGGTACCTGGGTGTGTGTTAAGTGAGGAAAAAGGCATTTGGAAAGAGAAAGTGGGATCCGGAGTAGAAGCCACTGTCCAGCCTGACAACCGCTGTAACTGGGGTGCACGAGCCCTGGAGCCAGACAGTCCCGGGGAGGGGAGGATGAGAAGTCTGATGTTTGGACTGTGTTCATCTCACAATCACCACAAAATAAAAGTGTAGAAAATGCTGTGGTGTACTAACTCTTTTCTGTACTTAAGTTACTCAGATTAACACGCACTTCCGATTAAACGTGTTTCTGGAGTCGTCACTGTTGCCGTTTAAGTAGAACAATGCCAACGATGTACGAGAAACAGGGAATAAATCAGGAATTGTGTGTGTGTGTGTGGCATTACTTACATTTGCTTCATTAATAGCCTGAGTTAGGGAACTTAGTGTCAGTTTAAAATGGGCTTCTTGTAACCAGAGTTGCCCGTGAAGGTCTGTGGTGGTTGGTGGCTTTTAAAAAAAATTGCCGTTTTTGCCGTGCCCCAGCAATCACACAGTTCTCTGTGATCATCAACAGTAATTGGGGCAGGCCAAGGGCTTTTTAGGGTAGGGGTGGTGATAAGAACAAAGCAAAAATGACCATGAACGTGTCTTCTCAAGGAAGCGAGGGCTTTGCCTGATTCGCACAGTATAGCAGATAGTCCAGTCATCGGGTACACGTGGCTGTTTGCGGGCATGCGGCCATTCCTGAACTGACAAGGGAGAAATGCAGACAGCCAGGGGCCACGTGGGTACCTGCTCTTTCCTGTAAACACACACCTTGGGGCCTCGCTCACCTTGGCACTAGTTCTGGATCAAAAAGATGGCAGGGATGGGTTCTGGGCGGGTTCGGGAGCCTACCTCTTTTAAGAAGACATGGTTGCAGAAGTGGGGGTGGTACACGACGTCCCTAGGGCTGTCACTTCACTCTGGTGCGATTCCTTTCCCCTGAATAACCGTCTTTTAAAAAGATAAACATGAGTAATGCGAGTTCAGCAGATGAGTTCAGACTCAGACATGCCACCTCTGCAGTTTGGAAGGGGGCCAGGTCATGGGGGACAGGCCTACTCATCACTCAGTGGACTGGCCTCCTTTGAAGATCTGATAGAGGCTACAGTTGCCCCCTGAGCAGAAGGCATGGTACGCGTAGTCCTGCAAGCAGGGTTTAGGGAGTCAAGACAACCCATGAGACCTCGCTTGGGTTCTCCCGGCAGCTCAGCATGAGCTGGGGCCAGCATTCGGTTCTGGGGTCCCGTGAGGTGTTTCTGTTAGGAGGAAGCCGTTACTCTAGGCAGTAACCTGGCTGGAGAGTGCACTGCGAGTTGGCAGTTTGGGCACCTCCTTGGTGGCACTGGGAGGAAGTTCGGTTGAGCAGCGTGTAGGCAGCGGCAGCCAGCGTGTCCTGAGGATGCTCAGCTCTGTGACAGTGGTTGCTGTTATAGTTGGCCTGCGGGGACCACTCTGCAGAGGGAGGTCAGGGGCAGGGGTAAGGTGTGGCCAGCAGGACTGGTTAGCCAGAGGCTCAGTTATTTGTCCAAACAGGAATCATGGCCTCTGCTTTTTGGGCTATATTTAGATGTTTCTCATCAGAGGCCATGGAGAATAGAAGTGGGATTTTTCCACTTAGCAGCCATGGTAAAGCCTTTCCTGGGGGAAATGGTCGAAGCCACCGAAGTGAAATTTGAATAATATGGAAAGTCTAGGTTCCCTGCTTCCCTTTTTTCTGTTTTCATGGATAAAACGTCAAGGAAGGATGATCTCTGCTCTACCCCTGACTTGAAAACGAAAGCATCCTGTCCGTTCCTAGCACGCAGGAGAGTTTTGTTTCAGATCTCCAGAACTTGGATTCTTGTGTCTTTATGTAGAAACGGTCCTGTGTGTGTTTTCCCAGGGTATTACTTTTATGCATCTAGGCTGCCCCCGCCCCCAGGTAGTTTATTTCTGCCACATGTGAGAGCCAGCGAGCAGCAGTTCGCACCCAGCCTCTGGCCAGCTGCAGATCATGGGCAAGCGCTTGCTGGCAGCCTCGGGGAGGTCTCTTGGACTTGAATTGGAAACTTCCCTTGTGAGATTGCCACATACACCGTCACCGTCTACCACCCTTGCTCGCTTCATTTTGAGCTCCTATGTAGTTTTTAATTTTTAAAATTTTTTAGGTTTTTGCCATAGGATACATGCACTTGTTGGAGGGAGACAGAGAGAGTGAGAAATTGGCCCCTCCAGAAGGGACAACCACACCACAACCCCTTTTCTCCTCCCCTGGGATCTTGGGCATGCGCACACGTGTGCCCATCATGGTTTTCACAGTCCCACTCTTGAGGTTCCCTGGGTGAGGCTGTACTTAGTGAAGAGAGTGGTCCCAGCTGCCTCCACCCCACATGGTCAGATTTCTATAAAGGACCCCCTACCACCTGTTTTAGGGTGTATGGCTGTCAGACGGAATAACCCGACCAGGCTGAGTGATGCCAAGATAGTGTTTACTCAGGGGACAGTGATTTTCTCAATTCTTTAATTATAAAATAATTTCGTGTGTAATCAGAATTGTTAGAAGTACAAGAGGCTGGTGTGGAAAATAGGAAGATCCTTTAGAAGGTCACTGAATTGGTCAGGCTACGACGTAGACTACGGTGTGCAAAGAGTCAGCCAACCTGTTGGGCTTCTCATACTGTCTCATGTCCTCTTGCAAACGAGAGTGCCTTGAACGCGACTAGGATTCTGAGGATTCAGGAAGCATTGAAGGCCTTAGAGGGTGTTTGTACTTAGGCCAGAGTGCACGATTCCGTGTAGGGCTGGTCGCTGTCCTCACTGGCAAATGTGAAGGTGGGTGGTGGTCGACCTTTTGCCATTTAAAGTGAGGTGGCAGGGAAAAGGGTTATCCTGGGAAGATATGAGACAGGACGCATGCCCCTAGCGTTAGGAGCTGGTGGGGAGGCCGTGGTCACTCTTCACACCTGCCATGGAGGTACTGAGGTCTTGTTCACACCTTCTGGAGAAAGGTTCCATGTCTCTGTGGGCTGCATTTGACCTTCGTGTTGTCAGGCCCTGTAGTCTAGTCAGGTTTACCTACACGTTTTAGGACTGAAGGACTAAGGGGTGTGGTACTCGTGTCTGTACTGAGTGGCCATGACAGGCGACTTTAAGAGCGGGGAGTGAGTCTGAGTGGCGACTCTTGGTTCCCGAGCGCGTCTGTCTGAGTGGAGGCAGTTTCACGTCAGACACCATGTGGCTCTGAGCACTTGGAGCTTTTTAGCTGCCAGTGAGTCAGGAAGAGGGCGGTACCAGTTGTTTCAAGGGCTGAGGTGGAGAGCTGGACTGGAGATGGTCACCGGCAGTTCGTTGGCAAAGCCGGCAGTATGTCCCCCAGGCGCTCCGACACCTCGGAGGGACACGAGCTACCTGCTAGCTCCAGGCATTTCTGAGGTCAGCACCTAGTTGGCGAGTTTACTTGGTCTCTTGGTGGCCACTGGACCTTCTAGTGGACCTGGTGCAGGGCCCTGGTCCTGGGCTTACCTCTGTCAGCCGTCGGAAGGTGCTTGATAAAGGCAGCAGAGGTGGATTCTGCTCTAAAGCTGTTGACTGTAGAATTAATGGGAAGGAGACAATGACAGATACTAAGCCGAGTCTTCTGGCAAAGAGTATCGAGTCAGGGACACCCATGGCCGCCCCTGTGCTGGGCTGGGCGGCAGCAGGGCTTCCGTTCTGTAGGAGTCCTTTCCAGCCGTCGAAACTCTCCCGTGCTACCGCCGCCTACAGTGAGGGGTACACGCGGAGTCCTTCTTAGCTGCCCAAAAGGAGAATAGAGATCGTATAAAATGTTTAAAGTACATTTTTATTTCAATGGTCAAGGCCCAGTAGGAACTATTTTTCTCAAGTAAAAAAAAAAAGCACCAAAGTACTGTGATAATGTATTGCTTACTTAGAATCTTTATTCTCTACATTCTAGGTTCGGAACCTCACTTACATGGTGACCCGCAGGGAAAAGATTAAACGATCTGTGTGCAAAGTCCAGGAACAGATATTCAATCTTTACACTAAGCTCTTGGAGCAAGAAAGAGTTTCAGGTATGCATTAAGCCCTAGTAGGCCAAAATACAGGGCAGGGGTTTATAAATCTTAACACTGTTAAGGGAAAAAAAAAATCCTTTCTTTTGATTTTCTTCTATCTCTATGTAGAAGAACTTAAGAATCATAGACTTCCCTGTTAAAGATCCTCAAGCACTTGAGGCCTCATGATACAGGGGGAAAGAACCATGAGTGTGACCTGACACGCAGGTTGAATCCTATGTCCTCTGCTTACTGACCAAACACAGCCATTCCAGGCGGCCCCAATTTTCTTATAGAACGGGGGTATGTAAAGCTGCCTCTCGGAACTATTGTGTGGGACTCAAATGAAACGGCAATTTACATATTGCAAACCACTTGATAAGTGCCTCGGGGGATGCCTAAAACAAACTTACAGACCACCTAGCCTTTGGATCTGCTTGTCACACACGGTAAACGTATCTTAAGATTGCGTACATGAGACACAGTCCCTTTTAGATAATGTTCACAGTGGGCTTCGTGTCGATGGGATTTTGAGTACTTCTGAGATTAAGCACCACGGATGTATTTATTTTTGTGCCTTCTATTTTACATTGCTCAGGCAGAGGCAAGGAGGAAGAGGAAACTAGGATATGTACTTCCTCCACTCTGGACAGTTCTCCCGTTCTCTGGAGATGAGGTTGGGCCACGTGTTCACCCACTCTGGGGTTCCATCAATCTTAAAGGAGGCTTCATCTACCATCATGACCTCTGATGTGCCTTTCAGCACCAACAATCTGTCATAAGTCTCAGAGAGTAGGCAGTTCTCAGAGGGAGGGCAGATTTCAGAGTGGAAGATCTGTTATGTGTGGGTCAGGCAGGGTTGTGGGCCTGTGGAGCAGACAGGTCTTAGATTAAACCTGACTGGGAGACAGTGAGTGCCTCTCTCCAGCCTTGAGATGCCCTTTTTCGTTATAGCAGCGACTTTTTGGCACTTGGGTTGTAGAGAGTCTTCGTTCATTCCTTTATTTTTCTATGTTTGTAGCCTTTGGTCTCCTAGATTACGTTGACACAGAAACGACAGAGACGTTGCTATAACCTATCATGTTGACATCCAGATTCTGGTTCATCTGTAGCTAACTAGACGTACAGAGGTCTGCAAAAAGTTTGTGGGAAAATGAATAGGGAATGAATACGTAGTGTTTCTCACAGCGCACATTTTTCATTTTGTTTTTGTAGGCCCCTTGACGGTGACTTGTGGTAACTTGGTCAGCTGAACCAATAGAATAAGTCTTAAGAGTTTTTTTTATTTTAAGATTTACTTAATTTTCTTTATTAATTATTATCTTTTTAAATTTTGATCAGAGAGAGAAAATGAGAAAGCAATCCACCAGGTCTGGGACTTGAACTGTGTGTGGATGGCCATGTGGGAGTCTAGCACCTTAACCGTCATGCTACCTGCCAGCCCTGAGAGTTTGTTTTTAAATGTCAGAGAGCAAGAGTGTAGGAAGCATGCCTCATGGGGCATTTTCTTGTCTACAATCCTCTTTTTCTCTAATTTGTGATCTGATAGGGGCCTTTGTGAGCATCCTCAGTGTATTTTTCAACCCAAGGGGCCAGGACCTTAAACTCTGGTTGGCCCTATGGGCTTCTAGCTTCCTCCGCACAGCACCCAACTGCCACACTGCAGGGTGACCCCACCTAGGAAGTTTTAGTTATGCTCTCAACATTTTACATAGTTTTATTTGCATTAACTTGTAGACATTATGCTGGTCTGGGACTTGAACTGTGTGTGGATGGCCATGTGGGAGTCTAGCACCTTAACCGTCATGCTACCTGCCAGCCCTGAGAGTTTGTTTTTAAATGTCAGAGAGCAAGAGTGTAGGAAGCATGCCTCATGGGGCATTTTCTTGTCTACAATCCTCTTTTTCTCTAATTTGTGATCTGATAGGGGCCTTTGTGAGCATCCTCAGTGTATTTTTCAACCCAAGGGGCCAGGACCTTAAACTCTGGTTGGCCCTATGGGCTTCTAGCTTCCTCCGCACAGCACCCAACTGCCACACTGCAGGGTGACCCCACCTAGGAAGTTTTAGTTATGCTCTCAACATTTTACATAGTTTTATTTGCATTAACTTGTAGACATTATGCTGGATATTTTCTTCCCAAGAGTAAATATTTTCCAGATGTATCAAGTCTATATTATTAGCTGAGCTAAAGGAGTTTATAGTCACACAACTTTTAAAATAAATTTTGCCAAGTAGGGTGTCGTGCAAGAGGGGTTTGATTCAGATACTTAGCTTCACAGTGAACTTCCATATCTTCGTTATCCTTCCTTGAAGACAAATGGGATCTGTTTTATTCTGAGCCTTGTGGAACAGCCCCCACACACAGAAGGCTGCCTGGTGCAGGGTGCCCACCGCGGCCAGCAGACAGTGGGCCAGGATGGCCCAAGGTGGTCTGGGATCGTTGATACAAGTGGTGCCTGTGGAGTCACACCATTGGATGGAGGATTTCTGAACTCTTGCTCAGTCATCATGAAATGAGTGGTTACCTAAAAAAATACGCCATTCAGAGCATTTTCACCTGATTTCACTTTAGACATTTTTCATGGATTTCTCAGGCAGCTTTCTGCATTTTGTGGCTGAAGTTTTTCCTTGGTTGAGTGAATAAGTCTCTTAAAAGGTTAGGAAGCGTTTTGTCTTACAAAGTTGTAATCTAGTTCACCATTCAGAAGTTCTACTGGTGTTCTAGAAAAGGAAAACAAAACCTCCCTTCTTTCTTAGAGCCAAACAAGGTGTGATTAGTTGAAAGAGGCATCGATCTTCCTGTGGGATGCTACAGGGAATGCGACCCAAACCCTTTTTATATCTTTTCTTGTTCCATTTGAGACTGTGGGTTGTACGCCTAAAGTCGATTTGGTTCCAGTGGAAGCAGGGCGGATGGCCCAGACGGATACACGCCACTCAGGGCCCGTGGTTTCAGCTCCGTTAATGTGATTCTGGTTTGGGGTAGGGCCATTCTGTCGAGGGAAAGCATGCTCAGCACGGGTGGGTCTTGATTCGAGGCTCTTTGGATACCTGAGTTCTAAGTCAAGTAGATAAAATCAAGGCTCAGAGAAGGTTAGTCTCTCCTTTCTATTTTCTCATGGTAGGTGATTCATTAAATGTGATGTACAGATTGATTCTTTTTGTTTTTTCCTTTAAGTCCATTTATTTCTTCTCAGAGAAGGGTACCCCTAACAGGGTCTTAATGCCAATATCCACCCCAGTCTCATCCAGACTTGGCCTGTGGACATGTACACTGTGTGCTCAAGGAGGACTCAGGATGTGAACTCAGGACCCTCCCCATGCAGTCCAGCTCCACTAGCATCATATATACCACCTGCCCCCTAATGATTGGTTGTTGAAAAAGCAGGCACCTCCTCCGCAGCAGACTGTAGAGATCATCCCCTGTGGGCAGGGCAGCTAGCTGTGTTGTGTGTCTACAGTGGTCATGGTTGATGAGCCGGAAGTTCTTGTCTGCGCTCCTGTCTCTGGTGGTTCATACCAGAGACAGAAAACGTGAGCATGGCTCTTTGTAGATGTTTGAGGTTCTTATGGAAATAAGTCCTGATGAGTTCTAACGTGTTACAAATTCACCCAAATATTTTTCAATCTGGGGCTTATGGTTCATGAGTGGGTTGTGAGATGAAGTCGGTGGGTCACGACCAGCATTAAAAACAAGTGACATGGTATAGAAAATACCAGAGTGCCTATCACATAATGAGGGCTAATTTTACCTCATAAGTTGTGACCTTTTACTAGTTATTGCTGTGAAGTTTAGTTCTTACCATGACTTGCATCAAAACGGCTTGGAAAACACCTTTTTCACTTAAGCACAAGTTGTTAACAATTCAGTGAAATCTCACACGTGGACTTTGCATGTAGTCATTGAGCATTTTTGGAATACTTAACTGTATGTGAGCAGTTGCGTTAGACACTTAACCGTATTCATTTTACATGCTAAGATGCGTTTATCCTCCTAATAACCTTGTGAGAGCATAGACACTTTGGAGAAATTTGGAAACCCCAGGCCCTGCTGTTTTGGTGCTCCCAAGGTCGCCGGAGCGGATGCCTGTGTTGAGGGGTGCAGTTGCTGCTGTCTAACTGGGTGAGGGGAGAAGAGGTAGCCCCTGGACACCAGACTCTGTGTGAATTCATTCCTCTTTGAAAATAAGATGGGTTATTTAGTTTGAAGGAAACTGTGTGTTCCTTGAAAAGCTACTGTTTCATGAGAATTCTGTGAACTTCAGCTGTTCAAGAAACTGTAGCATATTGAGTATGCAGATTGAATGCAGATTTTCAAGGCAGGTCATATGTTTACTATGAAAACCAAACTTTTACAAATCAGGTGGCTGTGTGTTGTGCTGATGGGTGGTATATAAATTGGATCATCTTAAGGGGTTTAGAATTTTCCTCTGTTGGCTTTGCTGCTTCTGTAACTTGTGGTTTATGTTGTGTTCATAGGTGTGCCTTCTTCGTCCTGCTCCTCCTCCTCACTGGAAAACATGCTGTTGTTTAACAGTCCTTCTGTGGGCCCTGACGCTCCTAAGATCGAGGACTTGAAGTGGCATTCTGCGTTCTTCAGGAAACAAATGGGTACTTCCTTGGTTCATTCCCTGAAAAAGCCCCATAAGCGAGATCCATTGCAGAATAGCACTGGGGGTGAAGGCAAGACCTCGCTAAAGCAGCCAGACCCGTGTGGTCGAAGGGAGGGCCTGGTGGTCCCCGAGAGCTTTCTGAGTTTTGAAAAGACCTTTGCAGAAGCACGTCTCATATCATCAGCACAACAGAAAAACGGCGTGGTGACGCCAGACCACGGGAAAAGAAGAGACAATCGTTTTCATTGTGATCTCATTAAAGGAGACTTAAAGGACAAATCTTTTAAACAGAGTCACAAGCCTCTCAGGTCCACAGACGTGTCCCAGAGGCATCTGGACAACACAAGAGCTGCCACATCCCCTGGAGTGGGGCAGTCAGCACCTGGCACGAGGAAGGAGGTGGTGCCCAAGTGCAATGGCTCCCTAATCAAAGTAAACTATACCCAGACTGCAGTCAAAGTGCCTACAACACCTGCCAGCCCGGTGAAAAACTGGGGCGGATTCCGAATTCCAAAGAAGGGGGAGCGGCAGCAGCAGGGAGAGGCCCCCGAGGGGGCCTGCCACAACCACTCAGACTACCCATATTTGGGCTTAGGCCGAGCTCCAGCCAAGGAAAGGGCAAAAAGCAAATTAAAATCAGACAATGAGAATGACGGGTATGTCCCTGACGTAGAAATGAGTGACTCAGAGAGTGAGGCATCAGAAAAGAAATGTATGCACGCCAGCAACACTATCAGCAGGAGGACAGACATTATCCGGAGAAGCATCTTGGCCTCTTGATGACACAGCCCCCGTGGGAAGCACCGCAGGCTTGTCATTGCTTGTGCCCGAGGCCAGCTCTGATGTGGGGACGAGTGGGAACCCATTACTCCTGAGCTACACAAACACGTTCACTTCAATTCAGATAGTTCTTACCCCCCCTCCCCCCCAGTCATTTATAAACCATTGTGAGAGTTTGTGTTATTTCCAACTTATTGAGGAAACAGAAGAGTAGGCTGTAACCGTTGAGACACTGCTGAGATGAGAACCTGAACCAAACACTAAAATGAGAACAAATTAAATAAGTCTTAGAGGGCAAGGCTGAAATAAGCCTTAGGAATTGTATTGCCCTCTTCCTTCTTCCCGAAGCACAAACTCTTGGTTACCTGAATATATGGAATCAGATAGAGTTTTTGAGAAACCCTCATGTACTGTTTATAGCCCACAAAACTTATTTTCTAGGACTGGTAGATCTTGAAGTCATTTCTATTTTGGCCTACGAGGCTGTTTTGGTTGCATCCTAGTACACAGGCAGCAGCTCTCGGAAGCTTCAGTAACGCTAGGGAATTCACGTGGAAATGCAGTAGTCGGAGGGAGAGAGAATTTGAGGAAAAGGTCATGCTGGAAGAGTTGAAGGGACAGGGCTGAACTGCTGCAGTGCGGAGACTGGGAGTGAATGTGGCAGGGCCCTGCTGCCTGGAACCCACACTTAGTGTGGATTATAGGGCTGGTGGATTTTGAAGCTGTTAGGCAAATTCTCTGTACGAGAAAGGGCAGTCGAGGTCTAATTTTTACCAATCATCTTGGCCTTCCCCTTCCCTAACCACTGGCTCTTGGGCCAGTTTGGGATTTCCCCGGCCATTGCCAGTGCCTGGCCATCTGGCTTCCTTCCAACATTATAAAGGCTATTCAAGTTTAAGTGATGAACTTCCAGACTCTGGTGACTCAAACTTCCCAGAGCCAACCACTAATGGATATGTCGGGGAATCCGGGCTTCCAACATGAACGGATTCCTTAAGAAAAAAGAAGAAAAAAAGAAAAAAAAAAAAAAAGGAAAAAAAAAAGCAAAATAGGTTATATTTTAAAAAGAATAGAAAGGCAATAAGTTGCGATAAGCTCTTACCATTGACCAAGGTTATACAGGAAAGAGACTGAAGTGTACCCTCAAATAGGCTTTCTGGAGTCAGAGTTTTGTAACTCGTAATTCGTAACTTGGACTTTCTAATTGCAAATGGCAATAACTAGTAAGTTATCAGCAATAATAAATTTAGCATTAAATTTGAGTACAATGTTCTGTTTTCGCACTCTTTGTAGTGCCTATGTATTAAGACAGTGGATAGTGTTAAGGTCCTGTTCATTTTCTTTGGAATTCAATGTAGTTGTGACTCAAACTTGAGAAGGAAAGTTTAAAAATAGCAATGAGATTAAGAATTATGGGCATGTGGAACAAGCCCGACTTCCCCCAAATTACCCTTAGTTTGTAATATCAGTATTCAGATTCCCAATTCACTTATACATCAGTTTTCATGTGGCAGGGACATTCTGATAATTAATGAATGATGCTTTGAGTTCTGTAGTTAACTTTCAAGTCTTCCAGATGATTGTCAACAACAAAAAAGGCTTATTGAATTCCATCTTGCTATGCAAGTTTTATCAGATGATCAAATAGTAGATCTGATGCATCCCCATTGTATGTATGACATTTTCAAACCAAGTCTTAACTTTTCAAGTACATTTTAGTAGCTAATTCAGGGGAGGGGATAGAATGACCCAGGTTTTTAAGATTGACTATTTTTGAGCTATTGGGCTCATTTTTGAAAGACTGCTGTCCAGATGAGCTTGTTGCTACAGAGACTAGAAGGTTCGTGTGAATCCAAGTTGTATCTTCACTGGTAGCATAATTTAAAAGCTAAATTTTTGTTTGTTTGTTTGTTTTGGCAAATGAGCAAAAAACCTTTTGCTGGATTCAGGAGAAGGTTGGACTCTACAGTTATCTTTTGACTATAGCAACAGCTCTGGGTGAGAGTAGAATTTATAGAGGGATAATTTGTCAAGCCATAGAAAGAAAATCTAAATTAATCTAGTAAGTACATGACCTCTCACCATTTTAAGAGGTACCAGATTCATTTGCACTATTAGGAATGCTAGTTTTGTGCAAAATAATGCCTTACCTGTTTTTCCCCCACATTTAGGTTGAAAAGCTTTCGAACGTTCCAAGTTATGCTGAACCAAAAACCGAAACAAAACAAAACAAAATAAAAAATAATAAAAAAAACCCCTAACACAAAAACAAAACACACAAAAAAAAGAAGCCCACACTTTTTATTCCTGCTTCGAAATGCAAATGGTATAGAGCACGGTTTCTCTGACAGTGTAATGATAGCTTTGTAAGTTAGTTTCATGTCATGCTGGGAACTCTATGAGGTGGCCATAGCAGCAACCAGCCCGAACTACCCACTTGCATTCTATTAGTAAGGAACCTTTTTTTTTTTTCCTGTTTCCCCCCCATTTGTTTTTTTAAGCTTTATCTTTCCTTGTGCATCCTGACCAAGAAGTAACTTTATGATCAATGTATTATGTCAAAATGTAGGCTAGTTAAACTTTTGTAAAGTTGCCTGGAATGTCATTTGTTAGGTTATAAACACAAAATCTAAATGAAGGGTTTTATGTGTTGTGTACAAATCTTAATTATTTTGAAATGGACAAACTCGTCATTACATTTGTAACCTTGTACAGAGAATTTTTCACTATGTGCCTAGCTTGGTGTCCATTCAGCTAAAATTGAAAAAAAAAAAGGTGCATGAAGAGTTAAAAATCAGAAATTAAACAAAGTATATGTAGAGAGGACTATTTTATATTACATGGCCCGATCCTGTATTTATTTCTACCCCCCTTTTGGAAAGTATTTATAAAACTAGTTGAGGACAGCTGTATTTTTTTGTTGAACTATTTAGTAGAATTTGTGCCTTTTTGTCTGTATGTGAATAAATGCTGTACATTTTGCAATACATTTTAAAGCGTCTTTTGAAATCTGCTTTTGTTAAACATTTAAAGGTGTGAGTCAGGAGTCTTGAACTGGTGGTGGGTTACTACCTCTCAATTCAGATCGGATTGTGGATGAGCACGGATTTACTGAGCTGCTTTCTGGCTCTGATAGGAGACTGAAAAATGATTTGTGGCTTGATTTTAGTCTTCCCCACCAGAAATTCTTTCGAGAACATTGTGGAAGCAACATAGATTTTAAGGTCTGAGAAACCCGTGTTTCAAGGTTGAACAACAGTGACCTGGGCCCAAGTTAAGTCACTTAACCTTTACGAGCCTGTTTTCCCATCTGTAAACAGGGTAACATTGGAGCCGACAGGTGGCATGGAGGTTAAGGCAGCTGGGTCTCACATGGCTGACTCTGGTTCAGGTCCCAGACCCAGCAGCTTGAAAATCATGCCTGGCACAGGTGTGTGCATACCCAGAATCCTGAGAGAATGGAGAAAGCAGTGTGTTGCAATCCCCGCCACGGGGTGATTTCTCACTCACTCTCTGGTGAGTGCACATGCCCTATGGCAAAAATCTTTAAAAGAAAAGAGAAACATCTTTTTTATCTTTTTTTTAAAGAAGTATTTATTTATTTATTTATTTAAATTTGACCACAGAGTGACAGAGTGAGAGAGAAAGAGAGGGGTGGGGGGAGTGAGAAAGAAAGCTGCCAGGTCCGGGACTCAAACTGCAGTCAGCCAGGTGGGAGTCCAGTGCTCTTATCCACCACCCTACCTGCCGGCCCAAAACATCTTTTACCTTACTGGTGTTGCTATTTAAAGCAAGTTAAGAGCACATCTCTGTTACAAAAGCATGTAGTGGGCACTTAATAAGTGGTAGGTTACGATCTTTGTTATTATGAACAGGACACTCATTTTTTAAGGACTTTTAAAAAAATTTAACTTTATTTGTTTTAATTTGACCAGAGAGGGACAGTGTGTGGGGTGGGGGCAGAGGGGGGGAAGTGAGAAAACAAGCCACCATGTCCAGGACTTTAACCATAGTCGACCACGTGGGAGTCCAGAACGCTTACCCACGCCATCTGCCGGCCCCAACATTGACTTTTTAAAAAAAGAATTATTTTATTTAACTTTATTTTAATCTGACCAGGGAGAGACAGAGTGAGCAAGGAGAGAGACAGTGAGAGAACAAGCTGCCAGGTCCGGGACTCGAACCACAGTCAGTCGTCATGGGAGTCCAGCGTCCTTAACCACCACACCAACTGCCGGCCCACCAAAATTTGATTTTATAACATTTTAAATGATGAGTCTTAAGAGGCAAAAACTTTTTTTTTGCTGCCTGATGGGAAAATTGAATTTATATGGTGCTTTAAAAATAATAAAAGTGGTTTCATTTAACGTAGTGTTTTGGACACAGAAGTCTGGAACAGGAGAGGAACAGATCAAAGGAGAGATTGTTTTAACAGATCTGTTCTAGGCCGTAGCATCAGGCACTGGCAGAACTGGGCCTAAGCCCAGGTTGTCGATTCTAGTTTGGAGTTCTCCTTGTCTGAAAGGGTCTTTTTTTCTTTTTCTTGAGAAGTTTTTGCTATAGGGCACGTGCACTCGCCAGACAGGGACAGAGAGACAGAAAGCAAGAAATCACCCCCTAGGGGAGATGGCCACGCCGCAATCCCTTCTCTTCCATTCTCCTCTTGGGATCTTGGGCATGCACGCACACAGGCCTGGCGTGAATTTTAAGCCACCGGGTCCGGGATGCGAACTGCAGTCTACTACATGGGAGTGCAGTGACATAGCCACTACACCAACTGCTGGTCCCCTGAAAGGGTCTTTTTTTTTTTTTTTTCTTTTTTTTGGAGAGGGTTTTTCTTTAGGGCGTATGTGCTCACCAGAGACAGAGAGACAAAGTGAAAAATCACCCCCCTGGGGGGGGTTGGCCACACCGCAATCCCTTCTCCATTCTCTCGGGATATTGGGCACACATGCACATGCACCCTGTGTGAGTTTAAACCACCGGGTTCGGGACTCGAACCGCAGTCGACCACGTGGGAGTCCAGTGACATAGCCATTATACTAACTGCTGGTCCCACCTGGAAGGGTCTTTATACAACGCTACATACAGAAATTAACTGGCATACATTGACATACACCTTCCCCTTTCCGTTGGGATTAGCAAAACTGGTGTGGTTACACACTCCTGCAGATGAAGAGGATTAGGGGCTAGTTACTGTCCACATTTATCATTTTTGTGCAAGTTTGGAGTCTTTTTGAACATGCACTGTTCGTACAGTTTGCTAAAACTTGTTTCTGACTCCTTGTTTCTCCTTAGTGACTCTTTACTTCCTTGTTGCTTGTTCTAAGACCCCAGGGAGAAATAACTGTGATTCTTCTTACAAGGTCTTCAAGTCGAATAACCACAATAGTTCCCTAGGGAAATTAAGTCCCCAGGAGCCAAAGGAAGGGCCTATCCTTGGCTGTTCTGCAATCTGCAATGGGGAAATGTGGCACCAGGGACTCATGTTCATGTTTTCACCCAAATCACTTAGAAAATGCTTTCTACCTTTGAAACATTAGCCATCTGCAACAAATTTTGCAATGAACTTCAAGGTTGGAAATCTTTACTATGATTTCCCTTTAATGCTCAGGACTGCATTAGATGATGTGTTTAGTCTTAGGTAGGAGAGAAGAGCTTTGATTGCCTGGCCACTGCAAAAGGATGAAAGGAAATCTGTTGTCTCTGCTTCCTTGATTTTGCCTGTTCCCTGACTCTGAATTCCATCTCTGCAATCCAGCTTTTCCTGAGTTCTCATGGACTGTTTATTTTGTTGTACACGGGCACTCGAAACTGCGGGACTCATTCGTTTTCTATATCCTGTTTAGAGAATGTTATTAACAGTGTGCAACCTGGGAGTCCTTCGTGAATTGCTTCAGCTCTCACAGCCAAATGGTGATGAAGGTCTGTGTATTATACTCAGATCGCCTCTTAGTTTTCTTCTCCCTCTGATCCCACTATCACTTTCCATATATTCCAAGTCACTGCATTCTTGTCTGGATTACTGCAGCAGCCTGTTACCTGGCTTCCTTGACTCAAGTCTTGCTGAAATTAACCCCTCCTCTCAATCCGCGACCTTGCCAACACTTAATCTCCATAGTGATTATTTCGAAATGAAACCGATTTTTGTCATTCCACACGGCCTTCGGGGGAACATCCCAACTTCTGCAGATAATTAGAGTGGTAGGCACTGGTCAGTATGCTATGGAGGCTAGTTTGTTTAATCCTTATTACCTGTAAGGTAGGCACTATTATCTCTGATTTGCAGATGAGGAAACTGAGGCACAGGAAGTTAAGTCATTTGCTTAGGGTCAGTAGGTAGTAGAGTCAGAATGCAATCCTGGCCATTCTGGGACTGAGCCCTCTGTATTGCTACTCAGAATATACGAACAGTTCACAGAGTAGCTCACGTGGTTCTGCGTATACGGAAGGGTGATGCGAACTCTTAGTTCAATGAATTTCTATAAAGTTAATCTTGGGTTAAAACGCTGTTAATGTATTGACTAAAACCTAGAAGATAACAATTTGGTCTGCATTGTTCAGTCCCTGCCATATTCTAGGGGAGAAGTGGAATGAACTTAGTCAAATATATATTTTACGTCACACCTACATGCACAGATATAGGTAAAACGTATGTGTATATATGGTCAAAGAGAAAGCATGGCTATCCGGAACACTCTCACTAATGCTCTCTATAGACACCATTGTGCGGAGAGTTCACAGAATTTTTTAAAATCACAGTTTCTTGATCCTGGTAATGGAATATTCATCTTGATACTTTTTTTTTTTTTTTGAGAGGTTTTCGCTATAGAGTGCGTGCGCTCGTCAGACAGAGACAGAGAGACAGCGAGAAATCACCCCCCAGGGGGGATGGCCACGCCACAATCTCTTCTCCATTCTCCTCTTGGGATCTTGGGCACGCACGTACATGCGCCCGGCTTGAGTTTAAGCCACCAGGTCCGGGACTCGAACCGTGGTCGACTACGTGGGAGTCCAGTGCAATAGCCATTACACTAATTGCTGGTCCCTATACCGTTGTTTTTTTTTTTTTAAAGTTTTTTTTTGCCATAGGGCACATGCACTTGCTGGAGAGGAGAAAGAGACAGAGTAAGTGACAAATCACCCACCAGAAGGGACAGCCATGCTGTAGTCCCTGTCCATTTTCCTTCTGGGATTTTCGGCTCACACGTACATATGCCCAGCATGATTTTCAAACCTCCATGTCCAGAACTGTGACCATAGTAGGCCATGGAGGAGTCCAGTGCCTTGACCCCACATCTTGATACTTTAAATTGAAGCTATCTATCTTATCTGTGTAAAACCTCCAAGTAAGTTTTTGTGACATAAAATATAGTAAATCCAGCTATTTTTACAAATAAATATGCACTGCTAAAAGTAGCAAAGATAAAAGTACTGTCATCTTCAATGGATCACCGATGCGTCCAGATGTACTCCACACTCAGCTGCTGCATGACAGGTTTTTTTTTTTTTTAAGAATAAAAAAATTTTATTTATTTACTTATTTTGATGAGAGAGAGAGAGAGAAAGAGAGAGAGAGAGAAAGTGAGAAAGCAAGTCACCAGGTCTGGGACTCTAACCACAGAGGGCCATGTGGGAGTCCAGCGCCCTTAACCACCTGCCGGCACCATGACAGGTAATTTTTTAGTTGCTAGAGGGCACGTGTGCTTGCCAGAGAAGAGAAGGCACTCTCCAGGGAGGCATGGCCACACTGCAGTCTCTTCTATTTCTTTGTCCTGTTGGGATTTGGGGCACACATGCACCTGTGCCTGTTGTGATTTTCAAGCTGCCAGGACTGAGACCAGAACAGCAGTTGCCCATGTGGGATCTGGCTCCTTTTACCACTAGCTAGCCCTCTGACAAAAACAAACAAACAAAAACCCCAAACTCTGTATGTTTTTTTTTTTTTTAAAGAATTATTTGCTTAATTTTATTATTTTTATTTTAA